TGATGTTTTACTGGCGCCACATGCATGATAATGTGAAGTCCGTGTCCATGCATGTGCATCCTTATTATTAAATGATGATAAATTACTATTTGTATGACTTGGATGATTGAATAAACTATTGTTGTTGATTGATCTATGAGGTAACTGTATTGTTTGTGTTTGGCTATCCGGTGTGCGTTCCTACACCGTGAGCCAGAGTGAGATGTTTTTCACTCCCTTCTTTTGTGTTGTTTCTCTTGTTTGATATACAGGTGATCATCAGCGTGAGGCTGAGGATGTTGGTGATGAAGCTTAGGCTTCTATGTTGGGTTTTGCTCTGATAGGACATGTGACATCGGGACATAGATATGATTAGTTTAAAACGTTCTTATTAAATTATTTTGGAAAATTCAGTTTTATTTCTTTGTAATTTTACTGGCATGTTATTTGGATTAAGTTTATGAATGTGAACTCTTTACCCTTACGTGGTTGGAAATTTGATTTTTATTAATGAAAAATTCTATTTTTTTTATAATTACTGTATATGTATGTTGGGATAGAGGGTGTCACATAGTTTGCATCATCATTCGTTCTTTACATACAACTTTGTCTAAGGAAATAAATTGATAAGAAAGTAATTCGGAAAAATTTTTATAAGAGAAAAATTTAGAAAACTTAATTCACCCCCTCTTAAATTAATTGAGACTAAGTGACTAACAACATGTTATAAAAGAAATGTGTTAAAAAAATATTATAAAAATAAAAAAGTAAAATTAAGGGATCAACCCCTAAACATGGGATTTGTGAATATAAATTATTATACTTTAGTACCACAGATAACAAACTTCTTTGAAGCTTATTTATATCACATCAATCAAGCAAAATATATAGACAATAAAACTTTAATTCTGTCATCATTACTGAAACCATGCTAATTGAGCAATTCCAACATTGTTCATTATAATTAGGGAAATAATTTGTTTGGATTTTCAAAATCAAGTATAAAATTGGTTTTAAAACCAATTTATGATTAGAAATCCTGATGGGTTTCAAAGTGGTTTAAAATCATAAATAAGTTTTTTAAACTAATTTTAAGAAAAAAAAATAAAATTAAAACTTATTTTAAAATGAAGACTTATTTAACTTTTTAAATCTGTTTAAAACTAATTTATGATTTTAATCATTGTGAATCCAATTTGGTTTGAAAATCAATTTATGATTTAAAATCGATTTTAATATATATTTCAAATCATAAACCAGTTGAAAACTATAATCAAATTTAAAACTAAATTTTAATTATAATTGTTTTTAAAAAAACCAGTTTGAAACGATGAACTTTTTACTATAATAGAATTTTTTTAAAAAAAAATACAAAAATAAATCTTTCCTTAATTTATTTACGAAAGTAAACCACTTTACTAAGCATGGTCAGAATTCGTTCTCGCAAGAATTGAATTCGAATTCCGACCAACACAGTAACATAAATTTCCCAATTAAATGGGTAATACATTTTCCCTGTCGAAATTCGGGATTCGAATTCCGATTAAACTTTTTTTTTCTTCAGTAATTTTAATATATATATATATATATATA